AAATATATGTAATTTTTTACCCAAGTCATACGTCGTTTTTAGGGTATTCCAAGTCACTGATCATAGGTCTCCCTCTGTCTATTCGCTCCCCCTTACTTACTATATGTCTCGGAAGTACCATTATTTGTTTAACTTAACTGAACTTTAACATTTTAAATCTCTTTCTGGTCCATGTGTACTTTACCCAAATAGAAAGTTCTTGATTACCTGAGGACTTTATTTACAAAAAGACAGAATTCAGGAGAAGGTATAATTAAATAGATAAACACAATTAAGCTTCTAAAACAATAATTCATTCTGTTACCTTAATGTTGTGACATTTCAAGTTCTTCTTTTTGGCTTCATATGTGAGCCAAAAAAGACAGCCCTGAGGGGCACGGGCAGCCACAACGGCTTGCTTCTCAGTGGTCGTGTCCCAAACGACATTCCCTCATTTTTCCGACTAACAATGAGCGGTTGGTTATCCAGGGAACAACCTGAAGACGAGATATTCCTTAGGCAGTGGCGTACCTCCCTCCAACACGATAGTCTTCGTACATAGAGACTTCGAGGGTAAGAGTCAAGCTACCTGCAGTCAGCTCTCCATCATCAAGAATAATAATAAGGAGTATCTGCAAGTTTTACCACTGGCCCTTTTCAGGGCCATTATAAGTATTTACGCTCCCTACTGAACCATCAATTTCATCAGTTCTTTTTAGGATCCACCTAAGCGTAAACTACCTTGACAACAAATACATTTTTACTACCATTTCTGGAAGCAATTCGTCGACTAAAAGACTATATTAACTAAAGACGGACACTATTAAACCAAGTCAGCCATTCACTAGCAGACGTCACCTGCGGAGTTGTTCTTCGCAAGGCTGGAAAACCCGGTGACCGACGACCCTATATTACCCTCTCGACTCTAAGCATTAAACCAGGAATCACTGATCCTCTCCAAGGTCTGCGCTGGGCAAACCTATAACAGCTATGTAGGAAAAAAAAACTTGAGCCAACGGGACAGCCTCCACTGGACAAGTATCACTAACCAATCTCCCCATCTAAGATCACCAAAATAACTGAATCTGCAAATAAAAAAGGTGCTTCAGACACCAACGTCTTCGACGTTATACCAGGAGACGTTGGGAAAGAGCACTACAACTAGCCCCAAAGCTTCGGACTTTGTAATTTTTCTCCCTATTAGTCTGGGTCTTTAACAGTAAGCCAGAGAAGATCACCCTGAGGTATCCAGGCAGTCACAATTGCTGTTAAGTGCAGTCAAGAAAGAGTTAACTTAAGAAGCTCACCGGTCTTTTTTAGGGCCATCGGACGTAGAACTACCTAGCCCTTAAATATATTAGAACTTAACAAAGTTGACAGAAAACAGCCTTTATGGGTCACACAAATTTTAAACATGCCAAAAGTCACAAGAGAATACATTGGAAGAAAAACTTCAAATTCATCTAATAAATACAATTTTACTTAGGCGTCAAGAAACTGACGCAGAAAATTTATTGAGATTGGAACAGCAGCGTCAAAATCGACAATTAAAGAATCTATTACGTGAGAGATCAGCTTTTCATTGTACCTTCACAGTAATCTCTTAAATCTTTTAGTTTCTTTAAATAAATAGAAAATGTATTTGGATTTTTGTGGCGATAAAAAATGTAGAGATTTAGCTCCAGCTCTGGTAATGAAGTTGTAAGATAAGAGAAAAAATTTTTTTTTAGGTATTTTAAATCTTAACAGCTTAAAAAAATAGCCCTGTTCGTAAATTATACAGAAAAAATCTCCTCCCGCATATTTACTACAGCTATGCGTGGATATATACAACGAGTACGAGCTTATATGTGTACATACGCACGCTTGCTGGTCAATAATCACTCGTGCACCTGTTTCTCTCGAAACTCCTCTTGGGTCAAGGCACGTCTAGGCCGTTACCCCTTGTGAGAGCGCATATGCGTCCCCTCGTGACCTGCGTGGTATAATACGTGTACACGAAGGAGGATATTATACGTATGTATATACGTGTCATGCTTAGAACTTCATGTATAGCCTCTTATGTGCGTCTATTCTCCCGCCCAAGTACATCTACCCATCTGGTCATCTTGTTCCTCGTGAAGCGTGCGTTTTAGCGCACCTGCGCGTAAGCGGTTATTATAAGACTTTTTTTTCATTCTCCTGAGTTTGGTTGAGCCTTTTCCATGTCGTCTTAAACTTATCTAACTTTTTTTTTTTTTTTAAATAAAACTTTTACGTTTCTGCCAACGAAGTAAGGCAAAACAGAGGTACGATTACTGAATACAGGCATAAGTAAAACATTGATGATAATTGGCTGTAAGTATTGGTTACGTTAAAAAAAATGAGTGTAACTGNAGGGACGTTATTTTTTTCTTTTTTTTTTTTTTTCTTTGGGAGGAAAAGACTTACAGTAAGCGACTTATGTTTCATGGAAATCTGTCGTTTTCTAAATTCCAGCCCCCCAAGCATGCCACATAAAGAACTTTGTTCTTTAAAAAATACCCACAAAAGTTATAGCTCGTTTAAGTGTGCCATTTTTTATATGTTTAATATTAAAAAGTTGCAATTTAATATGTAACCTTACAGAAAAATCACGTAAAATTGCTTCTATATGATTTGTAGAAATCTCCTAATTTTTGGGTGCAAAAGATTAATTCCAGATAAACATATCAAATTTTCAAATAGATCCACAAGTTGGTTTTTAAATAAACTTAGAAAAAACGGATCAAATATACGTGAAAGCATGCATGAAAGTATAAGTACATCCACATGAGAATTTCTTTATTATTACATAGGAAAGTTGCTCAACTAAAAAGTACTAAATGCTAAGTTTTCGAAAAAAAAACGTTTAACTAAAAAAATTAGTTCATTGATACATCATTAATTTATCACTGTCATTCATAACTAAGCCAAATTAATTAATAAACAGTAAACCATAATTTACACTAAAAATAAGTTACGAACCACACGATAAGAAGAAGTAATCGAAATTCTTGTATTGGGACTGCTCACAGCAGAGTAATCATCACATTATTTTGGATACATTTGTATTTGATCAAACGAATTTATAAAATTGTTTGAATTTGCAAACTCAACGGTGCAATTACACGGAGCACGGAACGGGCAATACGAAACCATTCAAGACTATGTGAGGGACAGAAGGATCTCTTCCTTGCACCCCTATTTCTCTCTCACTCTTATGGGTTCAAATAGTTCCGTGACTATGTAATTGCGCCTTGCTATAGTTAGATGATAGCCGTACAAGATGATAGCTTCGAGTGAAACTCAACTTAGCTTCACGCGTCATTGTATCAATGGCCCAGATTGTCACGCGTATTCTGACTATTTGGAATTCTTGGAGTAGACTAATTGGTATCTGAAGTACATTATTGCAAACAAAGTTTAAAACACAATCATATGCAACAAAATACTAAAGTTCAAAACACAATATCATTTTAATAAAGTATTCGAAAAACTTATAAGTTAAATAAGTTATGTGAAATGAAGTATTTATTACTTTAATACAAGTGTTGTTTAAAAAGTTGTTTGTATATAAATAATCTGTGTATTTAGTTTTCTTATCTGAAACGAAATATTTTAAATATTGTGTTAAAATAAGTAAATATACTAATACTCAAATTGTTTAATTAAAATCAAGTATTTGTATTACATTATTTTATTTCAGTTGCTGCTTAAGATACCATAAAAAATATAACATTTAATTCAAATGTTTCATTTAAAATGAATTAAATTGTCGCAGATAACTTCTTTAAATTGATACCGCTGCCCATCTCCTAAGCTCCTAATCAAATTTAAAAATTCATTTTGATTGTTCAAAGGACTAGATTTATGTAAAATGTGGTGCACCAATTTTTATGGATTTGATTAAAGTATTAAGAATAAATTATCATAATGCTCTTTTCGTCCTTGTAAAAAATAACAATGCCATTTGTTACGCATTTCAACTCATACGTGCGTCTGAATTATTGATATGTTTTGTACAAGTTTCCCATAGGTAATTAAAGCTCTGAAAATACTCTGGCAAAAATGTTCTTAGAATCAATCATAAAAGCGATATACATTTTAGCTTTCTTGCTTCATGTAGACAAGCTCATTTTTTTCGCATAATTGTTTTTGGCAGTGCAGATTAAAACTCTCTTGACAAAGTGCACTTTGTAAAACAAAATGCAAGTCACTGGGGAAAAAGAGAGTTGTATACCGGCTTTCCTGAGCAGACGTGACAAAAGACAATAAAGTCTTTCGTTTTAATTGTGTCCGCGGGCAGGTTGTTCATAAGCGCGTCGGTTAACCCGGCCAAGCAGCACTTACGTTATTATTTTTAATGCCACTCGAAAAACTGATGCACGTTGGCCCACGTATTTTCACTTTGTGTACCACCAGCACTTTTGTCCAATAATCAATTCATGGAGATCTGCATCAAATCAACCCGAAACGGTCCTCTCACTCCCTACACGAGGAAACAAGGGCCGATCACGATACCTTAAATTTCACCGCAGTACCATCAGGCACTCGGTAACACCTTCTCGCCCCTTCCTCAGTCCGCTGTACGTACAACGCAAGTACGCGTGTACAGCCGTAAACAATCCAAGAGGAAAAAAAGCACGTACGCGACAAACGAAAAAAGCGAGAGAGAGAGAGAGAGGGACTACAGTGCGCAAGCGCCGGCCGCAAGCTCTCTCTCTCCTACTCCTGACGTCCCGGTGAGGTGCACAGTTCCGCGAATACGAGACGCCCACCCGCGGTAGTACGCGTTGCTCCCTCGCGTCAGGTGGTCCACGGCCGATCGGATCTCACTGCTCCGTTACATTGTACGCGCGCGTGGAAACGTACTCGTTGCGGGAAGGTGTTTGTGGTGTCTGGTTGGGTGTCGAGCCGTACCGATTTTCGGTGCCACGAGCGCGCGGACGAGCGCCCAATGCTTGGAGGGTAGGCGAACTCGGTGCAAGGCGCCTGCAGCCTGTTGCGTGTAGATACACCCGTTGAGCGTATAACTGCGGCTTTGGCGAGCTAAAGGACCATAAGTGAAGTCACACACGTGCGGTTACGACGATGACATTGTACGGGATATGCGTTGCGACACTACAGCTTGTGGGCTGGGAGGCGGTGGCCAGAGCGAGTTTTGGCAGCGATTAATTGTACGCGTCTCCATGGATTACCGGATGGATGTGACAGAGGTAGGCATAGATGGGACACGCGACGGGAGGGTGATGACTCGTGTTTCCCTTTTTTTTGTTTTATTTTCGCTCTGTCATCGCGAGGAAAAGGAAGAGAAAGAGATGGGACGAAGCGGGTGTACGGGGATCGTCGACCTTATTCTTCTTCCTCCAGTAGACGCATCTATCTTGAAGATTTTTCGATACACGCCGGGACGAGCGATTGCTCATATTTTTTTTTGTCCTTCCTCTCGCGCTGCGGCGCACGTGATATGTTAGAGTCATCTCGAGTTCGACGCGCTGTTGGCGTTCGGATAGACCCCTTCTCTTACCTTCTTCCTTTTTTTCCTTTCTTCTTCTTTTCCTCGGCCGTTGTTCCTTTGCCTTTTTTTTCTTCTTCTCATTTTCGTCCAAAGGGTTTGCTTGAGTGCGTGCTATCGTCGTTGTCTTACTGCACTCCTTTGCACTTTTTTTGTTTGTTTTTCTTGCTGTTCCTCGTTTGTGTCCCTTTTTTTTTTTTTTTTTTTTCATCTTATTCTCGGTGACTGCAGATTGCAGGGCTTTGCACATTGATCACTAAACTTTGGAGTGATCAATGACATTGTCACCTCAAAAGTTATTTGATTTCTTCAACATTCAATGAAATTGGAAAATTGCTCTGCCAAATACACCAAAGTCGTAATGCAAGAAAAAAACCGCATTTCACCAGGAGAGTGACCTACACAACTGCCTCAAAACTTACTCAAACGAGCCACATAACGCGAGCGCTAATCGGAGGGGGTAAATCCCATTTAACATGCATCGCTTAGCCTGGAAAGAGCGTCCCCTCAAGCTCCCACTACCCCATTGTTTTTTTTTTTCCACAATCGAGCTTCGTATCTCGGGACAAGCTCCCGATTCCTCCGATGGATCAGAAAGTTGTTTGATAAAACAAGAAGGGAAAAAGCGCATCAGCCTTTGAATCTCCAGATTTATTGGTTGGCGCAACCTGTCCTCTACTACTGTCCAAGATTCGTGGCTGGAAGAGCTTTCGTAAGCACGTTTACACTCCCGACACACAGCCCGCAAACTTTTAATCGAGACCTGGATGTACGCGAGCTTTCGAGTATAAGGACTACGGTGACAGGTACTCACGGATATATTTACAGGCAAAGTTTTGGGGGAACCCATTTCACAAGTGAGTCGCTTCGGACACTTGGTATCAGTTTTCCACCACTTGACGCTGGACGGGTTGCTTTCGCGGGTTTTGCGGAGAGTAGTTTGAAACTGGGGTCGGAACTCTGACCGTCCACGAGTAAGGCGAAAGAGTGACTGTTGTCCACAAGAAAAACAAAATTCAGGATTCTCGGGATGATGTAATGTTAAGATACTCATTTTCATTAGTTCAAATTAGTTGGTAAAAGTGTTGGAACGACCACCTAACTACATTTTCAACATTTTTCATGGTCGAGTGAGCTGCTCTAATTAATTTCGCTTACACGTGTGACTCGAGCCGTGTTTTTTGAGGTAAAATTCTCTCACCAGATGTTAGTCCTTGTGGGAGAAGCTTGCAGCTTCGCGTCACGGATCACGGATTACAACGCGTTCACAGCCCAGAGTCTACCCAACAAAGTGGAGACAAGAGATGTATATGGACAATGCAATGTACTCTACCCCCCTTTCTGTTTTTCACTTTGGGTGGACTTTCATTGCTCGCTAGGTTTCATAGCCGTATGATGTTGTTTCATGGCGTTTGTGCATCAAGTCCTTGCACGTGTCCATCTTAATTGAAAGAGATAATTACAACTGTAATCATTGATGCATAAAACTTTTTCGAAACGTACCGAAGAGTTAGAAGATGGGAAAAATTTGTTGACCTTGCTCGGCACTGAGTACCATTATAATCCGTAAAATTTCTGTAAAAAAAATCTTTGATTCTCCTCCTTACTAACATGTAGTGAAAAAAATGCACGTCACGTTGAACAGGGCTCAAAATTTTTTTACTTTGATCATACAACCGGAGGTTATTCAGTAACTTTTTCCATAAATCAAAATACACACGTTGGTTAAAAACCCTTAAACTGTAACTGCATCGTCATAAAGAGACAAATTTTTTCGTACGGCCTCTCGCGTAGACACGGTCAAATGGGCGCGAATATCATCGAGCCTGATGTCAAAAAGTGCGTCCACGAGACACGATTCGGGCGAATATATACCTTGGTGCGCGCGAGAGAGCGCGTGTGCGTGTTTGATGTGCTGTGCGAAGTGTTTACCGTCGTGTATTTGCCGGAGGTTGCCAAGCTGCGAGGGGAGGCTCTCGCTGAGGGTGAAATGCAAATTCGGAGCTCGACGTCGAGCTAGTTGGGCGCGAATGATTAGAGCACGGATTCTGGATTTACCGTTTGGCTGTCTGTGATTACGGGATGTTGTGCAGGATCGAGTACTCGCGAGATGAATTGACGCACAAACATCTTCGTGGTTGGGTACGAACAGCAAAAGTTTCGTGCGTTTTCGGTACCAGTAGAATGAGTCGTGTATGGTCAGACTTTCATCGCGTGATTTCTTCATTTCTATCAGACGCAAGCGTACTTCTCAGAAAGGATACGCAATTAAATGTGTAAAGTGAATTATCGCTCTTTAATACAAAATACCCCTGGAACCATGAAATAAAGACAAGTAGAGGAATTGCATTCATCTTGACAAGCGTATACGATATGTATTCTATTACTCACGTCAGCTCATGGTAAGCCACACATCAGACCACTACTCACACACACGGCTTGGCTACAGTTAGATCTAGATTTTTTATTGCATTTGCCTAAAAATCGTGCGTGTAAGTACGTATGTTTACAGAATATGAACAAATGTTGTAACTGACTTAGTGTGCGGATCGATAAAGTCATCGCAAGGACCAACTTGTTTCTATTTGAATGAGGATGAGACTTCCCGCAGACTCGTCTTACGTTTCTTGATGTTTCCCGTCACTTCTATGATATCCAAGTCCATTGAGGCTTGTTTACACCCCTCCCTGTGGAGAAGGTCGGAGAACTATGCGTATACTTGATCACATATGGTTAATTGTATAAAAGTGTTGTTACGTTGCAACGGAATATACATTGGTGGACGTGTGAAGGCGATGTGTTACGATACGTTAGAATTACACGACACCTTTTTTATGAGAATTTCGTGCAGATGGGATCGTCAAGACATGCAAATTTTTCTACCGACAGAATTTTTTGGGAATTGATTGAAGCAACAATTTATTTAATTTTTTTAAGAACATTTTTGCAAATCCTTTTTCGGACCAAAAAAACAAAAAGCTTTGCAAAAACTTAGTTTAATACAGATACTGCGTTACTATTATCACGAAGATTTGATGCAAAATCAGATTGAATACATAAAGGCCAAATAAGTTATCCACGTTTCGAATTAAATTAGTAAGATGTTTACATGGTAGACCCCTCCAAATCCCGTGAAAAATTAACAGCTCAATAAATCGAAATAAAAAACAGGAGGCAGCGTGGATGCTCGCGCGTACAAGTACGTATACCTTCTAAAATAAACGTTTTAACACACAAATACATACATCAAGAGATAATTTCGATTTATAAAAAAAATTAAAAAAGTTCCTTGGCGTTTGGTGACATGCTACTTCAGAACCACGTAACTTTTTTCATCCCACAGGTCTTTGTTATCAACTTTTTCCGATCGCTCGTCCTGTTTGTTATGTCGTTATCGGCCTTCATCGCCACAACTGTCTTGAACACACTTTTTCCACTGAGCAATCAGTCGACCTTTTTTTTTTTTTATTCTTTGGTACATCATGTTAGGCCTTTTTCGAGTTTGCCTTTATTATAACTTCATTTATTTCTCTTTGTTCTGAGTTTCGTAATCCAGACCGTCGTTATATCTCGAAAATTTATTTGCTCACGTTTTTTCTGCTAGCCTCGTTTACTTGTTTATTTCGTCATATACACTGCAACCCTTACTTCAGAATCCTAGATCATGTGCTCGTTAGCCCTTTTATTGCTTCTCAGTTTCAGCTAATTAACAGATTTAATTAATTTTTTTGCAATGAAGGAGCTTACCTTATGCATGTACTAGAACATGAGAATTTCTGATAAAAAAAAAGTGAAAAATTCTGTTTTTGTACAATTTTATTCAGCGTTGCATGCTTAGACTATTATACTTATAGTTTGAATTTTTTTGCCATCCATACTATTATAAACATAATTAATTTAGATTCCTGATCGTAAGGAGCGAATGATTACAATTTCTGGTGTTGAACTGTTTTTTATTTTTATGATTTTGAATACACAGTACATCATAATGCGGAATAATTGTTGACCAATTTTGTCATCGAAGAAGTTAAATTTCATATTTTTATGAGCAATGCAGCTTACTATAATATGATTAAATGTATTACGTTGAATAAACTAGATGTCTTATTAGTGAAACGCTGCATTGAACTTTCAGAAAAATAATGTATTTACAAGCTACGAGTGGTTAAAGTAGGGTCAAGCGTGTTCAGAGAGGAAATATAGGTAAACAAAAATATGTCGATTATTTATGCTCAACGTACACAGGGGGTGTAAGGCACTTGACGGCACGCATCTTTTGCTCGCTCCACATGCTCAAACACACGTGAGGCATCAGGCGTGAAAAAACTGCAGCCTCAGTATGTGGAAAAGAAAAACGAAAGTAAACAAAGGTAAAAATAATATACAACACTCCCCAACCCCTGTAAGCTTCAATTTGTGTCGTTTACATTTGGGGAAAAAGAGAAGTCCATTACTTTGTAGCTTACGTTGTTTTCTTAACCCATGTCCATATTATGCTGGCCTTTAACACTCGTGGTATAAATATGCGCGTATTTTTCTCACTTGTTTCTTCAGCTATATTTCTCTTTTGCTGACTTTTCAATTAAGCGAACAATTTTCACGTACAAAAAATAAAAGCGTATAAATGAAACGTGCTATGAAAAATATGAATAACAAAAGTAAGACGATTTTTACTGAAAAAAAAAAAAAATTTTACGGAGT